GGGGGGGACAGGGCTGGGACACAGCCTCGGGCTTTCCTCCCCCTCGGGCTCTGGGGCTGGGACCGCGATTCCCGGTAGCCCTGAGTGGCGGCGGCCTCCCAGAACCCCCGGGAAGGGCAAGCGGAGGACCCGTCTTTTATGAAGCGGGGCCTTACCCGTGTTTTGAAGAGCCCCAGAATCAGATGTTGGAATGGGGTGGTTTATCAGCCTTGTTTATCTGCAGGGAAATTTCAGTTCCATCCAGATTTTGGCTCCCTCGGTAAACCTCAGGAATAAGACAAGGGTCAGTGCCGATTAGCAGTTATCTAGGGCTTGACTCAAAATAGACTGTGCGGGCTGTAGGGATGGTAGATGGGCCCTCCCTCTCAAGGTTGGCAGTCTTCTGGGATTAGAGGCCCCAGTGGAGGATTACATCCTCATCTGCAGTAATGGAGGTTGTGGGAAACATTAACACAGGGAAGGTAGGGGTGTGGCTGCTGTAAATCATTAAAGAAACCAGGACCCTTGCCTGGCTCTTGTGTAGGAGAGTCTCGCCTAGAGTAGGGCAGCAGTTATCAAAGTGTGTCCGAGGCCCCTGAGATGCAAGACTATTTTCGTAGAAACGCCGGGATGTCACCTGCCTTTTGCACACTCTTGCACTCCAGAGTTTCCTGTGGGGTTTTCCAGGGAAAACCTGGTCTGTGATATCACAAAACAGGGAATGTAGAGGCAGATAGGAGAATTCAGCGCTCACCAGTCCAAAACAGATTTGCAGAAATTAAAATCACTGCTATTCTTCTCATTAATGATTTTTGTTTAGAAAAATGTACTTACTATTTGCTAAAGAGTATTAATGGTAACATGTAGTAGGTTGTTATTATTTTTAAGTGAACTCATAAGCATTTTTTAAAGTTCTTATTTAACTTCTAACACAGGAACTATTGATAGATTTAACCCACATAAACAGCAGCCTTTTGGAGTCCTCAGTAATTAAGAGTGTACAGGGGTCTGTAGACCAAGAAGCTTGAGAGCCCCTGCAGAACGGGTGCTCAGGTACTAGTCAGGTGCTTAGCGTTGTTAGACAGATGCCAAGATGTCTTCTGCATGTGCTCCCGGAGTCGAAGTAATTGGCCACATGGAGATGGGTGGGCAGTGCCTCCACTATACGAACCAGAAGCTGCTGAAGGTGTCTTGAGTCTAGGCCATGTGCTGTGCAGGGATTCCTGTTGTATCTGTTCTATCTAAGCCGGGATTCCTGTGCAGAGACCTGGCCCTGAAGACCCGCTCTCCTTTGCTCCCTGCCAGGTACCTTCTGTGTGACTTCAACTCTCTAGAGGGCTTCAGCCTCTGTAGGGGCATCTGTATCCACATCGCCTTCCTCCTGAAGACCCTGCTGAAAATGGAGGAGTCGGTGCTGGTGCTACCCGCTTGGGGCCGCCTCTACCATTGGCAGAGCCTGGACATCCACAGGTCCGGATTCCCTGGTCTTTCTTTTTTGATCTCTCAAGTCTCAACAGAAACATCCCTGACACTGAGTACGAACAGTTCATTGCAGGTGAGATGGTGATCGTTTAACTGGGGCCAGACGGTTGTTGTTCTGGTTCCGATGTGAACATCGGGCCGTCTTGCTTCGGGCTTGTCGGTCTGCTTAGGGGTCCTGCTCATGTTTCCCTCACTGCAGGTGAATTTGGTCTTTCCATAGTTTTTCTCAGTTAATATATCTGAAGTGTATGAGCTCTGTGTTCCCTCCCCTCTGAAAACCCTGGCCTCCTGGTGAGATGGAGCGGTGACAGGGAGGCCACTGCCACAGAGGCCTTGTCCCAGCAGGACTCGCTCCCTGGGCAGTAAGGGCCATTCTTACCTGAAGGAGTGTGTGTAGCATGGGCCATGTGCTGGAGAAGGTATTTAACCTCTCATTCAGTATAATTTGGTCCTTCTCAAACTTCCCATTTTACTTTGTGTAAGAGGTAAGAGTTGAAGATTTTCTTTGAATAAAGGTATTTAGAGCTTATCTTTTTTTAATTGAAATGTGGTTGATTTACAATGTTTTGTTAGTTTCAGATACACAGCTGTTTTGTTAGTTTCAGGTATACAGCATAGTGATTCAGTTGTACATATACATAGCCTATTCTTTTTCAGGTTCTTTTCCATTATAGGTTGCAAGATACTGAATATTTTCCCCTGTGTTCTGCAGTGAATCCTTGTTGTTTATCTATTTTACATATAGTAGTTTGTAATTGTTAATCCCAAACTCCTAAGTTTGTTTTCTAAGTCTGTGAGTCTGTTTTTGTTTTGTAAATAAGTTCATTTGTATCATTTTTAAAATTCCTCATATAAGTGATATCATATGATACTTGTCTTTCTCTGTGTGAGTTATTTCACTTTAGTGTGATAATCTCCAGGTCCACCCATGTTGCTGTAAATGGCATTATTTCCTTCTTTGTTATGACTGAGCAATATTCTTTTATATCTAAATACTACATCTTTACCCAGTCATCTGTCAGTGGGCGTTTAGATTGCTTCTATGTCTTGGCCATTGTAAACAATGCTGCTGTGAACATTGGGGTGCAGATATCTTTTGGAATTAAGGTTCCCTCTGGATATATGCCCAGGAGTGGGATTGCTGGATAAAATGATAAGTCTTTTTTTAGTCTTTTGAGGACTCTCCATAATGTTTTCTACAGTGGCTGCAACAAACTACATTCCCACCAAAAATTTAGGATGGTTCCCTTTTCTCCACAGCCTCTCCAGCATTTATGGTTTGTGGATGTTTGAATGGTGGCCATTCTGACTAGTGTGAGATGATAACTTATTGTAGTTTTGATTTGCATTTCTCTGATAATTTGCGATATTGAACCTTTTTTTCATATGCCTATTGGCCATTTGTATATCTTCATTGGAGAATTGCTTGTTTAGTTGTTCTGCCCATTTTTGGATTGGGTTGTTTATTTTTTTCTTATTAAGTTGTATGAACTATTTATATAGTCTAGAAGTTAAGCCATGTTCAGTCTCATCTTTTGCAAACATTTTCTCCCATTTCATAGGTTGTCTTTATGTTTTGCTTATGGTTTCTATTGCTGTGAAAAAGCTGATAGGTGTAATTAGGTCCCATTTGTTTATTTTGGCTTTATTTCTGTTGCTTGGGTGGATTGTCC